TCAACGTAAATTAACCTTCGTAATAGCATACTATTATAACGTAAGTTATAAACGAAAAAAAAGAAAATATAAATAATAATCATATACAAAATCAATAAATTACAAAAAATTCTAAGTAATCTTAAAAAATAAATAAGTAATCAGTATTATAACAATAAATATAATAAGAAATAAAATAAATCAGCGACTATTTAAAAGTATCTTTCAATAGTATTCAATATTCGTTACCGAAAAAGCAACATTTGAAGTTTTCGTCCTAACTGTGTTTGTTGATCGACATAAAATACAAATATTTACCGATGGGTTGCTGATATGTATGTATAAGACTGTAAAGCCAAAATATTTGCAAGGATTTTAATTTAAGAAAATTCAATAATAAATGCAGCGAATACAAATTGATGTAATTGAGAGAAACCGCTTCTCTTTCAGGTCAGTGACTACATAAAGAAAAATGATAATGGGAAACCTCTCCTCAGGTAAAACATGTTTAATCTTTGAAGTTATTGACTCACCTTTCACTGATCTTAAAGTAAATGCATCCCTTAACTCTCTTAAATAATAAAGGAAGTTTTCTTGTTTTTCCAACTCAACAGGTTCCTGAACACACAGCCGGAGGCGATCAACACAACTGTTGGAGAAGTGTCTTTCCATCTGCCCTCAGATTACAGCATGTCTCCAAATGAGACTGTGAATCGGGGCGAGTGAGTAGAAATTACTCTGGACTCGTCTAAATGAGTAAATCGGCAAAATCTAGCTTCTATACATTTACGCTTAATAACTTCTTTTTATCTTATCTTTTGAGTTTTGCAGCCTACAATATGTATTTCTTTGGCTCACTAAAACTGCTTAATTTTGGCAGCTGATTTCAGTTTAAATAAACTCTACATACACTACTAGACTGACCAGTACAAATGGTGACAAGCTGGTGAAGTCAAAAGTCAAAGTTAACTTTAATGTACATTTTTCTGTGTGTTTGTGCAGACCGAGAGATCGAAATAACGTTTCCAACAATCCCGAGTACAAAATACAATAATACAAATATGTATAAAATATGTGTATCCTATGTATATGTGTGTGTGTATATATATATATATACATACATACAATGAACAGATATACTGTATTAGCATTTAGCTGCTGAAAGCCAGGTATTTTTTCAAAGAGTTGTTGGGAGACCAAAACAGAGCCAAAAGTCAATATGTGGAGATAAAAACAATTCTTAAAGGTCCCATGTCATGGCCATTTCTACTGATCATAATTCCATTGTTGAGGTCTACTAGAATAGATTTATATTGTGCAATTTTCCAAAATCACATTTGGTTTCTCATACAGCATCTCTGTATGTGTATTCACTCTCTGTTCACTCTCTGCCTTTAACGGCTCGTTGTAGCTCCAGTAGCTCCACCGGCCCGTTCGAGCGGTTGCAGGGCTGTTAGCTCGTGCTCGACCCG